ATCATGTCTTGGAGTATCACATATACCCAGTGCTGCTTTGCTCATATTGTAATAAACCACCACACCATAAACAGTGGCAACAACTTCACCACATATCTCTAGACAGCGGTGAATTAAAGAGTACGTGATGATGAACAGAAGGTCCCCCCAAATGATACTCCCAGCCTAAGTTTCCATGGTTTAATTGGTGTTTTGATTTAACAGGGAAGAACTCCATGGTGGCATGTTGTTTTAGTGGTTGGAGCATGACATAAAGTAAAGCCCATAAGTTCAAAGTGTCTAGCTGTTTACTGGAATCCCACCACCCGAGAACTGGCAGGAGAGTCCCCAATTACTCATCTGCGTTAACTCTTTGGGTAAACATTTTCCTGTTGAGCAGAAGGTCGAGCTGCACATTCCCTGACAAAAATCCATGTTCAAAAATAAACAGAATGTATGCCTGAATTATGGGTTTATTTTGTACAAAAATGGATCTATTTACACAAGCGCCTCTCATCAGGACATGCTCATTTTCCAGCCTAGCAAGTTCTCCTCCTGTGCGGAATAATTCCCAGGGAGCATTAGATCTAAATATTAATGAGCAGCAGCCTCTCAAGAGGCAAGAAGGGTGTTAAACCCCGTCAAAGACGTGACTTTAGGCCTGGTTTTGTGCCTCCTTCCCGCGCAGCGAGCTGGGACAGCGAGGGAGCTGGCAGACACCCGGCCCGGCTGCAGGGCTCCGGAGCCACGCCGGGAACGCCAGCCAAAGCCTTAATGACAGAAACACCTACGTCTCCCACATATGCCATAATAAATTATTGGCATCGACTGAATTTCCATGATGTCAAATAAGTGTGAAGGAAAATAGACTGCAGCTAAGCAGAGGAAGGGGGTGTGGAGCAAAAAAATACAGGAAGGCACCGTTTTTTCTTCCCCCAAAGAAGGAGGCGGCACATTTGAAAGCAGTAATTGAAACAGAAACCAGGCTCACAAGCACTGCTGTGCAGAGACTCTAGCTAGCAGCAGCCCTGCAAATCCAACACATTTCAAAGTGCTTTTTAACTGTATGCACCAGGCACTGAGGGTTAAAGCAAGGTAAGTGTGCATTTATGTAAGATAATAACTAGGATAAAAGAAGCATCAGGGTGTTTGTAGGTGGAGTGTAGAGATGCTTCCTCTCACCGCCCAAATTGCATTTAAATACCATTTATCAACAACAGTTTCTACAGAAAAACAAAAGTTTGAAAGATCAGAAAATGGTGTTCACCACACAAAGCTGAAGTCTTATACCTCTACTGCTTTTACAGCTATGCCAATCTACTTTTCCCCTTGATTCTCCACCAGTTCTATTTTTAAGCTTTAAGTAACAGACCACCAGAAAAGTTCAGATTCTATATGCTGTGTTTTAAACTGCTGTGTAGCACTGGCAAGATAGGGACATTCCCTTATCAGAGAATAAACTGAATAATCTAGTCACTGCAAAGTCATCTAAAGTCAAGACATCATTTCTGCTTCGCAGCTAACAAGTCAGCTCTTGTTAGCTAGACACCTGCAGTGACTTGAACCTTGGCTTACTCCAGCCCTTAACCTCTTCTATCCCACAGGTGACCCCCTGCCACTGACTTCCAACTACACATCTTCATGCATCCTTCCCTAAGCATCACAGCTGGTATTGAATATCACTTAGCATTAAACATGACAAATTTGTTATGCACTTCATTTTAAATACACGGGCTAAGATCCGTGGAGACTAAAAGAGCAAGTCCTACTTTTACACAGCAATCACAGGGGCTTCCCTGCTTGCAGATGACATGCGAGGGGGAAGGTCCATGTTGCAGAGCAGCCCAGCCCCAGCAGACCACGGCTGCAGACAAACATCTGCTTCCACATCCCCGTGTGCCAGGGAATCGATCACTTCCCCCAGTCATCTGCCTTCTCCTGCCAAGAGTTACCCCCATCTGGCACAAAAGCTGCTTGCAGAAGCAAGCCCATTAGGCTGATATTTGTTTTTTTATTCCCTCTTTGCTGTGCTCAGAAGCTCTATCACCTGCCTGCTCATGCCCATCCACAGCGCACGAGYCACATCTCCCTCTGCCATTCATCAGCTTCATGAGCTGGCTAAGGGGACTCCCTTTTTCTCTGCCTCCATGTCAGTGAGAAATGAACCCCAAAACATGTGCTGCTCTCCATAGGACTGCATGGTTCATGTAAACTGTCCAACGCCAGGCAGGCTCCCTTACGTGCAAACAGCTGAGAATTTCTGCAGTGAAAACAGGTTTGTGGTGCCTCTGACTTTGGATATCTGACCTGATATACCTTGAAGAAAAAAAMTATCAAAAAAGAAACAGTATTTAAGGAGTGGAGGCTCTGCAAAATTAACCGAGACATGATGAAACCTGCTGGTCTTAGTAGTGTGCTGGGGACTGATTAGTACCTTAAATGCTGGTCACACCATCACTCTGAACATAACAGGAAAACACAAATAGAGAAATCCAAACACAACTGGAACAAATAGTACACCTCACCACTGCAGCCAGGGAGTTTTACTCCTGACCTCCAGCTAGAGAAAGAAATGACAGATAGGCCAACRAGGCCAACTAAGCTTTTCCACACTGATTTAAAGCACAGAAGCCACAGATGGTAGTTTATCAGTTCCAGTGGAAAGCAAGGATCATGGAACTTGAAGATATTAATCACTGTGAATTAGAAAACCCAAGGCTTCTATTAATTTCCCTGTCCGATTTCGTTATCTTCTCAGATTTTCCTGTCATTTCTTTAAGACTTTCCTTGTAAATTTTGTGTTTCAAGCTGTAAGAAGGCCATTAGAAGATGGCAGGAGTCCTGTACTTTTCTCGTAATGAATTCTCAAGTTACACAGGGTTTTCCTGTGCCAAACAAGCTGAAGCCACACACAATTATGCATCAGCTGCACTGAGCAGACATTCCTCAGTAGGATCTTCTATTTTTAATTCAGCAATTGCAGTAAATTGGCTAAGAACTTTGGGCTTTACAGCCTCATTACTTTATGTAAAACATYAGGAATAACTGCCACGTAAACATGGACATGGTACCTTATTTATGCAAATGCTGACTTGGGGGTTCTTCTTGGCAACATAATGCAAGTTCCATGATCACAGAAGCACTTGTCCCTGCACAGACCCACTTTGGCAGCTTTTGATGATCACACCACAGGCTCCTTGGAGGAAGCCCTATTGGCATTGATTTCTTAAGTTCATCACAAGCCAAAGTGATAAACCTTGGTACTTGAGGCAGAGTGTCCTTTATTTCCCTTTCAGAGAAGAATAATTAGGAAAAGATGATCCACCAGCTTATTTTTATCATAAAGCTGTTCTGGGAAGCTGAATTTCTTCCCTCTTGCTTGCAGGGCTAAYAGGGCAAATGTCCTCTTCCCCCAGCTCCAACACAAGGCCACACACTGCAGTGGCTGAAGCATTTGGGAAGCAGAAGCAAAGTGCCCTTGATGACCCATCTCCAAACACAGCTTCAAACAGACAGAGAAGGATCTCAAGGAGAACACTATTATTTTTTCTGACAAGACCCCCACACAGTTATGCAATCATGATATTAACCACATTATGAGGCTTAATACACATATCGAGTAGTCTCATGGCAAATACCTTAATTAACATCAGCTTGATCTTAAATGCACATTAAGGAGAGCTCTGGAGGAAGCAGTTGCACTGATGGAAGGACAGGCAGAGACAGAGACCATTCTGTACCATTTCATTCCCCTAAAGAGACCATTTGTTTCAGTTAAAGACCATGAGAGTTTATAGCCCTCAACATATGAGCACCCAACAATATGAAGTTGTTCCTTGCATTAATCAGGTTAACTCAGGTCACATTTTTAAGCTTCTTTCTGCAAGCCGCAGAACTCTCCCATCTTAATAAACACCTCAGTATAATCCACTGATGTCAAGAGCTGGAGCCTTGGCCTGGCCAGCAGCTCTCCTCTGGGTCTAAAGGTTTGAGCTCACGTTGACCTCGCTTCCATACAACGCAACTTAACCCAAACACTCATTTCACAATGTCGCACATACTGGTTGGATAACCTTCCAGATGGAAGGAACGCTCTATAAAAGTTAGGAATTATTGTTAGCGCTGTTATTCATTTGACCCATCCTACCCATTTGCAGATTACATTGAGTAAGGCAAAGCCCACATAATTTGTTATTTTTTTTTTTGTTATTTTTGCTATAGTTTCGCAATTCAGCGGTTTATAATAAATATAGTGGCCTGAGGAAAGCTCTGTGTGCAAAACAGAGTTCCTTATTCACCATTCAGGCAATGCAGAACTTCACAGCTTTGTTTGAGTCTCCCGTAGCCGAGACGGGAATCCATTAGCAACACTCAGACTGGTGGCAACACTTACTTTGAGAAGTAGAGGCACCCAAAACTAATCTTTAATTTAGTGTATAAGTAGAGGAAAAAAAGAAGGGACACAAGAAGTATCTCTTATTTGAGAATTTTTCATTTTTTGGAAAAAAAATAAATTTGCTGTGCAGAGCAATGCTAGACCTGCTCAGGAAAAAACTATTTTGGATTCCCTACATACTATCCCGAAACTTTTAGGTATGCTGCTGAACAACCTCCATYTTTACATGCCTTTTTCTCCCTATGCGCACAGGGAGCACATAATACATTACAGGCTGATTTCCTTTGATGCAGGCCCCACTTAGCCCGATCCCTTTGCAACCCCCTTTACGCTGCTCCCAAGCAGTCTATTAACCAGCTCCCAAGCAGAGCACGGGGCTGGGCAGCAGGATGCCTGGGCAATAAGTCTTGCATTRAAAGCTCTGCTGGGTCTTCCCACTGTGCAGGCCTGCTGAGCTAGGCTTCTTTTAATATTGCCTTAATAGGCTCTTCAAACGCAGTTAATTAAGTTCAGTATATCCCAACAGATTTCCATTGCCTGCAGAGAGCATGTGCCTTGGCAAACGGGAGTGTATTCCTGCTGCTATCGGCAATCGAGGCTTAGGTAGAGCGATTATGGTACTCACGAGAAGATGCAGTCGCGCCTGGGTTTTGCCTGCTCCACACATTGCCGAGGAGGACGGGGCAAAGCCCAAGCCTAGGCAGGACCCATGGGGACGTCTTGCTGGGACTGGCAATGCTGTAGCTGGCAGGAGCAGCAGCTTGGAGCCAAGACCTGCTGGGAAGGGGCAGAGGGGCTCCCAATCTGCTCTTAAAGCCTCAAGCTGCTGGGGCTGTTAATCACTCAATTAGGCCCTAATTATCATCACCACCTGCATCAAAAGACCTCCCAGGGCCAGGGAAAGGTTGCAGACAGGCCCTTTGACAGGTGATCCGCAGGGCCCGTGTGCTGCTTGCTCCGGGGATCAAAGCCAGGCAAGTGGCTGACACAGGCCCGAGCTCCCTCTGCCACGGACATGAGTAGTTCATTGGTTACCCATCTATTCCTCCACCCATCCCTCCATCCCTCCATCCCTCCATCTCTCCTTTCATCCATCCATCCACTTCTCCTTTGATTAATCCATCCATCCATTCCATATTAGAAGAAACACATTTCCTATCTCCTATATGTAAGGAAATAAAAGCTAAAAGAGCTTGTTATCTATTGCTTGGCATCAGACCTAAAGTCTACAAAGAGGGTTTAGTTTCTGACTCAGTTCTGATGTTTAAAACACGCAGCTTAAATTGAGTTAATTCCTTTGTGAAAGTTGTGCACAGCAGCTCTCGGAGTTTGAAAATAGTAATCATTTTGGAGCAAGAGTATTCAAACATTTACAAGGGTGTAAATAGGCAGTGGAGAACCGAGTCCAATAATCTGGCATTATAGGACGCAACAATAATACAATAATTCTCTCAGCCTTTCCAGCCCCAGTCTCATTTCCTGGGTTTTAACATTACTTTGGGTTATATAGGCATGCAGTGACTCAGCCTGTATCAATTTTCCTAATCCTCACAAAATGTTGATAATTTGTTCAGCTGTTCTTTTTTAACAGAGTGACAGAACAAATGCGTAAGTAGATCTTTTTTTTTCTAATAGCTTCAGTTTGGCATCCAGTTTAAAGCCAAAATTAGAAAAGGTTGAGAGGAGGGATATGCCTTCCAGTGTCCCCAGTGAAGGCATCTGAYGGCACGATGCTTTACCCTCAGATAGTGACAGAGAGGAGAAGGCTCTGGACACGTTTGGGTTCCCTGGATCTGAACCCATAACCTCCTTTCTGGTCTCAATCCTCTGTCCGTTTAATAGGAATTATTCAGCATGGACTAGTATGTTCTGTTTCACACTATCCACATCCATTTCCAAGGGGCCAAACTGCTGCAGCCCAAGGACTTCAGCATTCCCGAGTGCTGCTCCAGAGCTACCACTTCATCCACCAGAAGAATGGGTGGGGATCAAACCCTTTATGGATATGAAAGAGCAGSAGTGGGAGAGACCAAATGTTCTTGCTAGGTCCTCAGGACCTTCAGCTTCTATAAACTTTACACCTGCACAATCATACAGCAGTTGAAGATCACATGCAATTCCTTTTATCTTTTTTTTCTCTTGGTCTGCCAGTAGGCATTTGGTAAAAGTGACAGGTTATTTAAGAGAATATATCAGAGTTACAGTGTGTATTTATAGGCTATGTGAAGTCTAATACTTAATAGATTCCTACAGAGAAGATTCCTAAGCTGGAAACCCTGAATTATTCTTGCAAATCCAGAGCGCAGCGCCAGCATGTCTTGCAGATGCGTCATCCTTTCTTTCACCAACTAGGATTAACTCTAATCGAAAGTGACGTTCAAGACAATCCTTGTAGCCAGTCATTTGTTTTCTTAATAATAAGCCAGCCGATTTTACCTGCTGATTCCTTATTGCAATTTTGCAAAATATTACAAGAAAGTATTTTATGTGCTTCCAAGATTTCTAGCAATATGTGTCCATGTGAAAGAGTAATGAGCGGGGAGGTACTGCAGGAACTGAAGTGTGAAGAAGTTTAATATGCTCACTTACTTTTTGCTCTAAAGATGTATTTTAAATTTTTTTGGAGCGTGAATAAAATAAATTTGCAAAGTTGGGCAAAGCTGTTTAGATGGGGAAAGGATCCAGTCAAAACCTCTGCTTCTCACTCAGACCTAATCAATCCTCAGACTTTCTTGTCTCTCTGCTTTGGTGCCAGTACTTCTGACAKCTCTGGTCCTCATCTTCATTCTCCATATTCTTAACAGCCTCACTCTGTACTCATTGCTCATACTTTAAGAAATACAAAATCATATGCATCTCTCTGGGGAAGGACAAAGAGGACAACAAGAGAAAAAAAAGAAACATGTTTTCATAGATCAACTTCACTTGAACAATCGATCAGGTAATGATCAAGGGATGTGCTTTTGTACTGGATTCCACACTAAAAAAGCCAGTACCCCGTTGGGAACTCAGGGAGTTTAATTTTGAGGAGAGCTCATTTAGAGCCAAACATACCTATTACATTGGTTGGAATCCTGGGCCTCTTTAAGTGAACCACAGAAAAACCTGCCAACCTCAGAGAAGCTAACATGTCATCCTTAATTACCATAATTTCATGTGCAATCATGGCAATTGTGTGCAGGTGACCAGCTACATTTTCATGCCTTATTGTAGACGCTGCACCAAAATCTACCCAACTGGAATGGCAGAGCGATATTTGCTCCAATGTGCAAAATCTTACAATATTTACAAGGTGCAATCCTTACAAAATTTGATTGTCCGAGCTCCTATATGTTCAATGGTGTTAAAATGAATCAAGGGCTCCAAACCTCTCCCTTCAGAGCTTGGTATATCATGGAAAAGAATCTTGAAGAAAATATTCTGTAGAGCCTAAACTTCTCATTAACCAGCTACAGGAAATTCGGCTCCCTACTGCACAAGAGAGCAGAGCTATAAAAAGGCCTTGTGAACATATGTTACGTGCACTATTTTGAAAACAGGTCCCTGGGAGCTGTGGGTAGCAAGTTCTCCAGCTCCTTTTCCATGACTGCCTCCTGAAAGGCCCAGTCTGCTGTTTATTTAGCAGTCTTTTTGTATCCCATTCACAGTCAAGTTTTTAAGGGAAAAACGGGGACTTAAATTCTTCCCTAGGTAACAAGAGTGCCTGCATATCCATAGGATCATGTCATTGCAACAGAACAAAATATTCGACAAAGAATGGCTGGGTTTTCATCCATGTAGAAAGACTCTAACAAAAAGAAATGCTAACATACCAAAAGGAGAAGAGATGAAGAATAGGCTCTGAATTAAGGGTTTTGCTCATATTAATACTGCCATGTCTTACTGATGCTACAAGTCAAAATGCAAATATGAAGTAGGGCCATGGGGAGAGGAGCGACAGCCTTTGTAGCTGGCCAATCTGCCTCGCTCTTCCTCCTCTGTCCCTGTATGTCCTCAGCTGCTGCCTTCTTTTTGGACTGCATTGGTTTTTTGAAACAAAGACCGTTGTGTTTTTAGAGCATAAAGGCAATAAGGGTTCTGTTCATCATAAGGATTTTGGTTGTTTCTGTAGCAAAATAAAGTAAACCGGGGTAAAACTTCGAAGCAAATGCATTCCCAGATTGAAGTGAGCGATGGGATCTTCTCTTTGCACCCAAAACACTCGTGTCCAGCCGGGCTCTGCCCCGAAGAGTGACTTTCCTTCAAGTGAACAGGGCCAGAATCCCAACCAACCTACCGCAAACGGCTTGCAGCAGAGCTTCCAAATGTACTCATTAGCGCTGCAAAGCAACATAATCCTCCGGCCTATTTAAGACTGCTCCAAGTATGCAACATGCTTCTAAAGAYATAAATCCTGTGTAATTCCCCAAAAGCGCAAGGCTCGGCAGAGGAGGATGAGCAGGAAATAGATGGGAGCAAGAGCAGGGCTTTGCCATCGAAGGGATGTGCGGTCCAGGGAGCAACTTGCGGCACCGATACGGCTCCGGAGGACACTCGAATTGCAGCACAACCTCTTGACTCACAGACGCAGCAAGGGAAGAAGTAGTACATGAGTAGGGAATGACTAACTCCGGTCTCCACAGAGCTCTGTGGCTTGGACACTTTGCTGAAGATTTGGTTGTAAGCTGACATTTTTCGCTCTGATTAATCCTTTCCAGCCCTTGGTCTCAGCTGACTCGGCTGAGCCCGTTGGAACCACCGTGGGGCTCGCTGAACTTTATCTCTTTTCAGTGCTTAAATAGAAGACCCCCCTCTCCCTGCCCCCACCTCATCCTTCTTGCTAAAAGCTTATTTGTAAGAGCCATAATGAAACTCCAGGTGGCCTGGTGATTTGGAAGTAATCCCCTCTGGGATTTGAAGCACTTGGTTATGCCTCATGCATTGTAACAACCCATGGATGTGATTTTCCTCTCTTTCTTTCTTTATTTCTTTCTTTTTTTTCTTTTCTTTTCTTTTTTCTTTTTTTTTTTTTTTTNTTTTCCTCTCTTTCTTTCTTTATTTCTTTCTTTTTTTTCTTTTCTTTTTTTTTTTTTTTTTTTTTTTTTTTTCTGTGCTGCATGATTTAATAAGTGCAGGGCATTAGATGCTAAAGGAGTAGGGAAAAAAAAATCAAAACAGCCCCTAAAAAACAAAAGGATTAGAGGAACTCTGCAGGGTGTGTGCATGTGGACACCGTACCCAGCGGCTCCCCGCTGAAGGTTATAGTGTCTCCATGGAGGAGCACAAGCCAAGYTGGAGCTCCTTGGAGCTCGAGGAGCATCGAGCTTCGGGGCTGAATCATTTCACCTTGGTCCTCCTCTAAAGAAAGCAGCAAAAGAGGAACAGAACCCAATGTGTTTCCAAGTCTGAGAAAAGAAAAAGGGTTTTCAGTGCGCTTGATGGGTTTCCAGGGTCTATCTGCCACATGCAGAGGCCAAGAAGGGCACAAGCAGGGAGGGGAAAGCTTAGGAGCTGCATGACTGCACGATGCCACTGGCTGCCTCTGCTGCCTCAGGATTTCTAGTAATTTCTAGTTTAGGCTCTGCCCACAGAACCTATTCAGCTTACAAATTAAAATAAATAATCTATCTTATATATAATGTTGTATATTTTATATATACATATACATACTCTCTCTATATATACTACATATATAMATATATATATAATTTGAAAGCATTCCTGGGGTGCAATGCCATGTG